TCTTTCAAGTGCTTTTAATAGCCATTTGCATATTTTCTTTTGTGAAGCATCTGCTAAAATCCTTTCCTTATTTTAAAAATCAAATTGTCTTTATTATTGAACTTTATGAATTCTTTATGTATTCCAGATACAGGTTCTTTGTCACATATAATGGTATTATGAATATTTTTCTCCTAATCTGTGCCTTGCTATTTTCTCAATGGTGTCTTTAGAAGAATAGAAATTTTAAATTTTGATGAAGTTCGATTTATCTACTCTTTTCTTTCATGATTAATGTTTTCTGTGTCATGAGAGATCTTTGCCTACCGCAAGAATGCAAAAATATTCTACGCTATGTTCGAGGGCTTTTATGCTTGCAACCAGTCTCAAATCGGTTTTGCGTACGGCACGGCGGAGGGGTCATGGCGCGTTTACCCCAGGTGGATTTCTGGGTGTCCGGCAGGTTTTGCGGAGGCTTCTCTCTCTCGGTTGAATTGACTCGGTGATTGTCCAAAAGCCCTGTCGGTGATGTCAGCGTGGGACGACTTCTGCCCCCTTTAACCTGCTCTGTCGACACAGTTACCTGTCCCCTCCTGCCCACGTCACGGTCTCCGTGACCGCAGTTCCACAGTGCGTCTGGGAGTCGGGCAGAGTGACTCCTACCTCGTTCCTACTCAGTGTCATTCGGCTGTTTGGGTCCTTGGCATGTCCGTGTACATCTAAAAGTCAGTTTATCAGTTGCTGAAAAAAGTCCTCAGGGATTATGCCTGGGGTTTCATGAAATCTCTGGACCAGCTGGGAACAGGACAGTTTAGTAATGCTGGGCCTGAGTTCACGAGCGTGGTGTAGCTCACACGCCTTTGTCCTCCTCTCGGCAACACCGGCCTGCTTTCAGTGTGTAAGTCTTGTACTTCTTTTGTTAAAATTTCCTGTTTTGTGGTTTCGGATATCATTATGAATGCTGCATTTTAAAAATGTCGTCTTCCAATCGTTTCCACCAGCCTGTAAGAACACAGCTGACGCTGCCAGCGCCTTAAGCCTGCGGCGTGGTTCAGTCCCCGTGAGCTGAGGGCCTGTGACGTTCCACACGTAGCGTACGCACACGGATCGCTCTGCTTCTGTTCTAATCTTCACGGCTTCCGTTTCTTCTTCTTCTTTTACTGCACAAGCTGAGACCTTCCACGCACCGTCGGACGCCCGTGATGTGGGTGGGCGCTGGGCCGCCCGCCTGACCGCCCATCTCGGGGGAGACGTGCTCAGGCTTCACCACGAGGCCCGACTCAGCCGTAGGTGGTTCACGCCGTCGTCTTGTCAGGCTGAGGAAGTTTCCCTCCAGGCCCCGTTTGTTGAGAAATCGTCTTTGTCGATCATGCATGAGTGTTTAGTTTCCTCAAATGCTTTTCTACGTCTACTGAAATGATCCTATTATTTTATAGCTTTCTCCTTTAATCTGGTAACTTGGTGAATTACCTCAGTTTATTAACGCTCGGCCAACCCTGCATTCTGGGTGAAATCGCACTCGGTTGACACGTTACACTTTTTACGTACTGCCGGGTTCGTGCTAATAACCCCTTAAGAACGTTCTGTGTGCGCTCGTGAAGAACACTGCTCCGTAACTGCCTCTTCTTGAAACGTCCTCGTCCCCGCGGCCTCCTGAGAAGGCGCGGGAAGGTCCCCGTCCCCGGATGTGGGTGGGAGTTGCAGCATTTCTTCCTCGGCCATCCCACGGAACTCATCGCTGAAGTCTTTCGGCCCGGAGCGTTCTTAGCAGGAAGGTATTTTTTGTTTGTTTGTTTTAACTGCCTAAATTTTCAGAGCTATTTACAATTTTCAGTTCTTCCTCTGTCACTTTGGTAATCTATGTCTTTGAAGGAATTTAATCATTTCGTCTCAGGTCATTAATTTATATGCATAAAGTTGCATATATTTGTCTTTAAATTTTTACTTTAAAAACCCTAAGACTTACAGCAAAGCTGTGCAAGCAGGATGGCGTCCCCGTCACTGTTGAGGCCACGCCGCTAACTCGACACCCAGCCTGTTGGAATTTTTCCTGTCTGTTCGCATCCTCGTCTTCATTTTTTTTTTAATTTTCCTTTTATTTTTAGTTGGCACATGATAATTGCTCGTATTTACGGGACACAGAGTGACGGTTCGAGACACGTCCGCAGAGTGTGATGGTCAAGTCAGGGGCCTGGCTTATCCACAACCTCAAACACGTATGATTCGTCGTGCTGGGAACATCTGAAACCCTCCCTCCTGGGTTTCTGAAAATATACAACGGATCGTCTTTGACTCTGCTCACCTGCCGTCCGCGGGGCACAGCACGGTGCTTCCCGCGGGCCGTGACTGCGCGCCCGTCCGCCGGTCTCCCCCCAGCTCCCTCCCGCTCCACCGTTCTGCTCCCCACTTCCCCGCGGTCACCCTCCTTCACTCCCACACGCGCGAGAACACGAGACACGTCTCTGCGTCTGGCTTATTCCACCTAACATGGTAACTTCCAGCTCTATCCGTATTGCTGCCAACGACAGGACCTCATCCTTGTATGGCTGAACGTGTCCCACCATGTGCACACACCACACCGGGGGCCGATTCCGTGTCCTGGCCACCGTGAACAGTGCTACGGCAAACGCGGGGTGCAGACGTCCCTTCCACAGACTGGCTTTCTTTCCTTTGGATAGACGCCAGCCATGGGACTGCTGGGCCGGATGGTAGTTCTACCTTCAGTTTTTGAGGAACCTCCATTCTGTTCTCCGTAGTGGCTGCTAGTTTACGCCCCCGCCAACCGTGCGCGGGGCTCCGCGTCCTCGCCGGCACCTGTCATCTAACGTCCACACCACCCAAAGTGACCTGCGGATTCCACGCAATCCCTATCAAAACTCCACTTGCATTTGTCACAGAAACAGAAAAAACAATCCTAAAATTTACTTGGAACCACAAAAGACCCTCAATATCCAATGTAATCTTGAGAAAGAACAAAGCTGGAGGCAATGGCCAGGTGCGGTGGCTCACACCTGTAGTCCCTGTGACTCTGGAGGCCGAGGTGGGAGGATCGCTTGAGGCCAGGAGTTCAAGACCTGCCTGGGCAACACAGCAAGACCCCATCTCACTTCCTGATTTCAAACTACACTACAAGGCCATGGTAATCAGAGCAGCAGGCTATGGGCATAAAAATAAGAGCCATCGACCAAGGGAACAAAGCAGAGAGCCCAGAAGTAAACTCACTCGTGTACAATCAACTATGATTTGACAAGAGCTCCAGGAAGACACATAAATGGGAAAACTGGATATTTACACGTGAAACAATGAAACCGCACCTTATCTAACACCACTCACAAAACTAACTCAAAATAAAGACTCGAATGTAGTACAAGACCCGAAACCGTACAACTCCCAGGAGAAAGCAAGGAAAAGCTCCCAGACACCAGCCTTGGCCGTGACATGCACCAGAGGACAGGCACGAAGCACAGAGAGATGGCGGGGCCACGACAAACCGCAGAGCTCTACACGGCGGAGAGACAACCAGCTCAGGGAAAGGCGGCCTGCGAACGGGAGGAGACGTTTGCAACCGCGTATCGGATGACGCTGACGTCTAGAATGTTAACATCTGCGAAACATCTGCATATTCAACGGCACAGAAACAACACGGTCATGATAAAAAGTGAGCAAAGAGTCGGAACAGACATTTTTCCAAAGACGACACGCAAACGGCCAACAAGTACAGGGAAAGTGATGGCTTCCGTCACTGGTCACCATGGCGCGGCCAGTGGAAGCCACGGCGAGCCGCCGCCTCACACCCGTCAGGACGGCCACCGTCACAGCCCGCCGCGTTTCCCCAGGGTTCCCGCCACGCCTTTTCTGTACCAGGACCCCACCCGGGAAGCATTTAACCGTCACGCTCCCGAGGTGGACAGCTGCTTGGGCTCTGCCATCTCCCGTGACTTTGGTGCCCATCAGAACGCCGGTCTCTCCGCAAGGGTTTGTCTGAAGATTCTCGTGACCAGACGGCAGCCGGGCGTGTTTTCAAAAATAAAGAAGTGATGTTGTGTCCTCGCAGCCCCTCGTCCGCACGGATCCCTCTCCGTACCCTGCCCAGTTCCAGCAGCATCTGGAGGGGGCCACGCCTGCGCCCTTCACTGACCTCTGCTCCCCGCACCCCAGGCCTGGCCCCTCGCTGCCTGCCCTCCGTCTGAAGCTGTGGCCCCGAGAGCACGGCCACGGGGGCTTCCCCACAGACGACCACGCACAGCAGCTGCACGAGCCTCCCGCTGGTGCCAGCGTCCACACGGCCCTGCGCAGGGTCCTCTGGGGTCAGGAGGGCTCAGCACCCTGGACCAGGCGTCTTGCGGGCGTGGAGGACGAGCCTGTCCCTGCCCTTCTGCTCAGCACCCTCACCTGGCGGCCGTGGGGCTCCCCCAGAACAGGCTCCCGAGACACGCCGGCCACAAAACCACGGGTGCTGCTTTCTGAGTGAACCTGCCAAGCCGACCACGGGCTCCGGCTCTGACCAAGAGCACACGCGTGGGGTGAGGGTGCTGCCCGCCTGCCCGCCAGCGTCTGCCGCGGCTGTCTCCACCTCGCCACAGAGGCACGTTCTGCTGCTGCCACTCTCTCCTGCTCAGCCAGCTCGGCCTTCCTGCCTCCCGCCGCGGTGAGTTAGTGACGTCCAGCACCAGACCGTCCGGGAAATTACGCCTCTCAGCGCGCCCGGCGACGTCTCACCTGCGGGCACTAACCGGCAATCAGACGCCGTAAAAGGTGCTCTGGGTGTGCTGATAATTCACCGCCTCTGCCGGGCACCGTGGGAGTTTGGCACCACGAACCTGGCATGGAACAGTCTGGCAGCTTCTCCCCGGGCTTCGCCTCGACGCTGCCTCGCCTGCCGAAGCTGTGGTCCACGTAAAGTCCTTTGAGACATTTCATACGTTTGTATGCTTACTAAAGCCAGCTAGGGATGACGCTAAGACTAAGTCCTAGACGGACGAGGGGCCACAGCCTAAGAACATCTGTGCTGTGATTAGCGACGAAAAAGACTTTCGACGTTTTATTAAAGGGAACCACGGAAACATCTGTCTTTCTAATGACCTGGAAAAATGCATCTGGAGACAGCATCACACTCCACCGTGGGGTCTGGACACAGGGTCGCTGCTTCGACCCCACCCCGCCGGCCCCTCCTCATCACCTGTGGCCACTCGTGCTCTACCTGGGCTGGGCCTTGCCATGGGGCTCCCCAAAGCTCTACCCGGCCGGCCCTCCTGCTGCGGTGCGGCCCCACACACCTGGCCTGGCGGGAGGCAGGTGCGCCGCCCTCTGGAGTGACGTGGCGACGCCCTGCTGCTCCAGCTGCCTCCAGCACGTCCTGGGGCCCCGCCCACTGAGCCCTACGCAGAGCTAACCACACACGGTCACCACGCAGGCGGGTATCACGGAGTACGGGGTGGGCTCCTGGGAATCGGGCCGGCCTTCTGCGTCCACACGGTCAGACCACAAGGATGTCAGAGGTGACCCAGCCGCCAGGCGTGCCCTGGCGCCCGCTGTCCATAAGTGCCCGCGTCTCCTCACGTGGAGCGGCCTGCCCCTCCCTGGCCACCAGGGCATGGTGACATCCGAGGGGCAGGAGCACCGGGGCTGAGGCCGCCATGTCGCGACGCGGGGAGGGAGAAGGGAGGCTCCCAGCCTCCTAGTCCTGGGTCGCGAGGGCCTCGGCCTTGAGGCTGTGCCGGAGTCTCCTGCTGCTGCGGCCGGGCTGCCGAGACTGACGTGGCTGCGTCTGCCGAGACAGCGGGCGAGCCTGGCCCCGGGGACAGGCGTCAGGCGTCTCGTCCAGGCGCCGGCCTGTCCACCCCCGCGCAGAGCAGATGTCCACGGGCTCCGGTCAGGCTGGTGCTGGCCGAGACGTGAGGGGACGGGCGAGGGCCTTGGGGGGCCACACGCACCTGCCGACGGGCCCCGGGCAGCTCCCGCTGGGAACGTCACCGCCTGAGTCTGCAGCTGGCGCGGGTGAGACGGCGCCACAGCCCCGCAGGGCCCGGCCCCCACGCACGGCCCAAGTGCCAGGCCAGGGCTGGCGGGGAGGCCGTGGAACACTCAGGCTGAAGCAGAGGAGGAGACGGCGGGACGACCACGTGAGGTCCTGGCACGGCAGCCGCCCCCAGGGCCAGGAGCAGCCGTCGCGCCACCCTAACTCCTGGTGAGTGTGCGATGGGCCCAGCCCCCAAATCCAAACAATCACGCTAGCATATCTGCACAGGGCCTCCAGTGTAACAACCTGAATATTTAATAATAATTCTAGTATAAAAATTAAGATCTAACGAACAGTGAGAAGTGCAAGAGAGAGTGAGTGAAGGTCGCCAAACTCTGCTCAGCGCAGTCGGAAGGAAGCACGTCACTCTCGATTTCCAAGTTCAAGGAAGGTCTCGGAAACCGTGAAGGCAGCCGCTGCCAGAAGGAAAAGCAGGAGGGATGTGTGTCTGCCTTGCGCATCTCCGGGGACCAGCAGGGACATGGAGGACAGACGGGCACAAGGCACGCGCAGCCCGTTCGTCCGCCAGATTCCAAGGAAACCTCCCCCACGCACTTGGCTTTCTAGTTTGTTTCGTTTTTCTGAGGGTCTCGCTCTGTCACCCGGCTACAGTGCAACAGCGTCATCACAGCTCACTGCGGCCTCCAACTCCTGGGCTCCAGCGACCCTCCGGCCTCGGCCTCCCGAGCAGCTGGGACTATAGGGGCCACGACGCCCGGCCCGTACGTGGCTTTTATAAGAGACACACCCAGAACCAGGCGAGCTGGCGTCCACAAGAAAGGACTAGCAGAAAAGGCTTCCCGGCAGAATCACAGATGACCCCCATATGGCACGTGACTTTCACCCTTTAAAAACGATCTTTGCAGCATTTCAGACACCCCGGAACCCGCGGGAGGGGCTGGGGGAGAGGGAGTGGCCCAGGCGGCTGCTCCCCGAGAGGCTCCTGGCGAGGTGAGCCCCGTGGGCTGTTTCCCGCAGTCGCGGCCGCGAACACGGCGGGAGGAGCCAGCTGAGTTCCAAGTGCTCAGCCGTCGCTGCGGGACGCGGAAGGACATGGGGCTGGCCAGGCCGGGCCGAGGGGAGGACAGAAAGCCACAGGCCAGCGAGGGGGACACATCCCACCTCGCCTGGAAGCCGCACGGCTCAGCCGCGGGCATGGTTCGGCACGTCGCTGACAAACCAGAGCTCTACTTACCGCGCCGAGCATGATCCTGAACACCAGCCAGCGGAAGCCCCACAGGACGACCCGGGACGTGGGGCTGTGCCTGGGCAGTCGCGCCAGGGTCCACAGCGGGCACAGGAACACCCCCAGGAACCCTGTTTCCAGGAGCTGGGACTCCCATCCTGAAACGACAGACGAGACGCGGCGTGTCAGCAAGAGCCAGAAGTGCACAGAGAAGCCGTCTCCCCCACTCGGTTCAACCGGCACAGTCCTTAACGTGGGACTGACCTCGCCACCGAGCGGGCACGAGCCCCACCGCGTCCGTCTGAACAGCAGTAGCGTCTGCGCAGGAAACAAGGACGTGCCTTGGCCGCCATCCCCGTGTGGGACGGTAGCGGCGAGCGCGGCACGAGAAACCCGACGGGTTCGTCCATCTCGGCTCTGTGCTCACAGTCGGGACGGCCCACGTTCCCACAGAAACCCACTGAGCCAAGCCCCGTCATGGATGTGGCTGTCCCTGAAGCTCACCATCCTGGGGGACCAGGGGCCCCACGCCAGCCTCCCCGGGCACCAGACAGGACCAGAGCCCACCTGCTCCGCGTGACACTGACGGACGCCTGGCATTGAGAACAGCACCTGCGCACGCACACACGGGGACGTGGCGGGGCTGGCAGGACACGTGGACAGAGGCTCGCAGTGGGGGTCCTTCCCTAGCTAGAAAGTATTTTAAAATAAAAGCTTTTAAAGAAGAAGCTAACAAAGTAGCGCTGAACTACAACGGAAAGCATGAGATACGCATCCCTGAGTCCACGATGACGTAAATCATCAAATCGACAGGGACACGGGGACCAGGACACGCCCCCTGCAGAAGAATCCTCACGACCCACGCAGACCCCCCAGAGGCAGAGCGCCAGGCCCGCGTGTGGCCGCGCACAGACTCCTCCCAAAGAGCGCAGGACGGGAGGGGCGGAGTCGCCCACGTGGAGAGGACCAACAGCTCGCCAGGCGGGGACGCGTCCCGTGGGCAGCGGTATCCGGGGACCGTGTGCAGAGGTGTCGTCCTCCCCAACCCGGCCACTGTGAGACGACCAACGACACCCGTGGACGGGCGCCCCGTCCACATCCCAGAACCCCCAGAGCCGTCCCAGTCACCAAAACAAGGAAAGCCCAAGACGCCTGAGGAGACGTGGCCACCAAGCGTCCCTGGGACCCTGGGTCGGGAAGGGCCCCGGGGAAGGACCGAGGGAGCGGGAGGCCGCGTGGACGTGGCTGACGAGCTGTGTGACCAACGAGCCGCACTCACGCAAGATGCCGGCTCCGCGGAGCTGGGTGTGGGGTACGCGGAACTCCATGTACCAGCTCCGCGATTTTTCTGTAAATCTAAAATGCTCTGAAAGATAAAACCTATTTTAAAAAGTTGGGGCTTGCGGCTGTGCCCCAGCCCTGGCTCCGCTCGGCCCGAGGGTCTGCCCCGCCCCCCATCCTCCAGCCCTGCGCCCGGGTTTGCATTTCGCTCTAACGACTATCACCCACGAGACGGGACGCCAGCCTGCCGCCAAGGAGGCAGCCGACGAACACCCCCAGCGCCCTCCTGCGGGTCACCGACGGTTCTAACGGGAACCTGTGGCTGGAGGAGACTGGGGGGGCTCTGACCACAGGCAGGACAGGCCTGGCTGTCTGGGAGCAGCAGACACCGGACCCCGAGACGGCAGCTGCAGCAGTGGGGTCCTAGGGTCCTTCCGGGGCGGAGGACGCAGCGGGTGCGGGGGGCCCTGGGACCCCCGAGCTGCCTCCCAGGGCTGTGCAGCTGCAGCTTGTCACCAAGAGGAGGAACACCGAGGGGCCGGTTTACCGGGGACCCACCTGTCACCAGGGACCCGGGGATCACGCAGTGACTTAATCCCAACGAGATGGATCCCCAGACGCGCTGAGTAAACAAGGCTTTAGACAAGGGCAGGCACACTGTGGTTCCCCTTACAGAAAGTTCTGGAACGAGCAGAACTGGTACAGGTTAAAGGAACCACAGCAGCACCCGGGGGCGGCCGTTGCCACCAGGCCCAGGGGGTGTGGCCTCCCAGCCCCTCCGGAGCGGCCCACGGTCCTAACGCGGCTCGGGAGCAGGCGGGCCACTGAGCAGAGGCCTGGGGGTCTCGTGCAGCAGGCCCCTCCACCCGCGCCCCCAGGGCTCCCTGGCCCCATCTCCCCAGCAGGAGCTGGAGCCGCCGGCCGGCTGCGGGCCCTCGCGGACGCTCTGGGCAGGGAAGGGTCGCGAGGACCCCCCTGCCTCTGTCTACTGTGCTCGGGTCCCGCGGTGTCCCAGCAGCTGTGCCACCGGACAAGGAGCATCATTGTTCTCCACCTCAGCGTGGGGGACGGCGCGTCCCCCAGAAAAACAAACAGCCCGCGCCTGCCAGGGCCGAGGGGCTGGTGTCTCTTCGCGCTGCTCTTGCCCAGCGCGCCCCGGGCAGCACGGAGGACAGGGCAGCCGCAGACCCACCGAGCGCCTGTCCCAGGCACGCGGCCCTCCACGCACGACGTCTGGGCTCTACTGCCCGCCGGGCCCTTCCCCGGGGGGAGGTGGCGGGGAGGACGGTGGCTCTGGCACAAAACCAACCCGCTGGAGAAGCCGCAGGCACAAAACCAAGGGAGCCACTCGGCACGAGAGGCCGGGAGGCAGGTGCAGCCAGGGACAGGAGGGCGGCCGGGGCTGCACTGCTTTCTGGAGGTGCCGGCCTGAGGCTGGGGGCTCACTGTCCCCCAGGGACGTCCCCAGAGGCTCCCACCTCGGGAGGACACAGTGGGGGGCACAGACACCGCCCTGAGGCCGGGGCCACACTCCAGGAGTCCACGGGGCGCGTCCAGCTCAGACCTCACAGACGACTGGCCCCAGTGCAGGTCTGACCGCAGCCTCGGGGGCCGCCGCCCCGTCCACGGCCCCAGGTCCTCGCCTGTGGTGTGCAGACTGCCCGGGCGTCAGTCAGTCGTGACCCCCGGCAGCTCGGCCCCGCGGACTTGGACCAGCCCCGGCCGGGCAGACTCGTGGCACGGGGTGAGGGAACCAGACCCCCGTGGCAGAGCCAGCCCCTCCCGCTCATGGCTGGTGCTGACCTCAATGCCAGCCCACGTTCCGTGTCCACCTGCTGGGAAAAACTTGTCTGCAGGCATGACGACACCTGTCCCCCGGGCCAGCTCCGACCGCTCCTGAGACACAGAGAAACGCTCCACGTTCAAGAAAGAGCGATGGCTTCAGTACAAATCCTTCCAGCATCGGTGACCAGCCCGGGTGTCAAGTGGACAAAGGCAGGAAGAGCCTCACCAAGGGGCAGTGACAGGCCAGAGCGGGTCACACACCGGAGCCTCGCGCACCGTGGCCTCCCTGCCTGGCCTCCCTGCCCTGCAGGACCCGCGCAGACGCTGGCTCCTGGGGCCCGCAGGAAAACGCACACTCAGCGTGGGCCGCAGGCCACGGTACTGCTCCGGCCTTCCCAGTTCTCTCCCTTCCTCCCTCCAGCCGCGGTGGCGAGACACCCGCTGCCGTGGGCTCAGAAGATGTGGTTTCTCTGCACTAAGTCCCCAAGCGCACACCACTAATGACACGTAGACGCGGAACCAGAGGGCCACGCGGTTCTCACCCAAAACCAAGGCTGAGAACTCCTTGTGCTGGCCCAGGAAGGGGCGTCCTCCGACCTCCGACCTCCCGAGGCTCACAGGGTGCCAGGCATTGCCCTCCCACCTGCCTTGCAGACGGCGAGTCTGATACTACCTGTTTGGGCACCTATTTAAAACCAGCCGAGGGAAAAACGCCCAGGACCCGGGCTTCGGACAGCCAGAGCAGCAGTCCAAGGGGCGCGTGGCCTGGGGACACGCAGGCTGCGCAGGCCGGGCGGGTACAGCAGGGGCCGGAACACCCACGAGGAGCCGGACACAGGACAGGGCTGAGGGTGGCCCAGCAGGTGGAGCCGCGTGGCAGGGCAGAGAGCTGCCTTCCGCCCAGAGCCCCCATCATCGGGGTGGCCCGGGGCTGCCCGTGCTCTAGGGCCGTACTTGGGGCACCCGCTCCCCAGTAAAACCAGCGCAGCAGCAAGGCCGCGCCCTTCTCTGCTCACGCACACCAAAGACGGAGGAACCAGACGATTCGCCACCAGGAGGCCTGATCCGCGCCTGGTGACAGGGGAGGGAACAGGCACCGAACCAGCGAGGGGCGGCGCGGCCAGGGCTACTGCTGCGGGGGCACCGGCGTGACGCGGCTGCTTGTGGTGGGAAGGGTGAGGACGCTCAGCCAGCAGCAGCTCCTGCCGACAACTGACCGTGGCCGCCGTGGTTGGTGGGGGGCATCGCGGCGGCCGGCGAGGGCGGGACGTGCCCTGCCAGGCAGAGCAGGGCTAGGCCTGAGCTGGAGTTTTTTGTGAGAGCAGCAAAGAGGCAACGACAGTTTGAGACAAGCGGTCACGGAGCTGGATTTTCAAGAGTCAATTTGACTGAATTACGTAAAACGCGTGAAACACCGGCCCCTGCCAGAGGCCCCACCGAGGCGGAGGAATCGGGGCAGGGGCTGAGGACGGAGGTGCGGGAGGAGGGAGGGGGCCCTTGGGATGGGTGGGGACGCCCAGCCCACTTGCTCCAGGTCAGCGAGGGCCGGACCGGAGGCACGTCGTGGTCTGGCTGGAGTCACGTGTGCCGAGGCTGGACGGGGAGCGAAGGCCGCCAGGGTGAGCTGGAGCCAGGCGGGGGCTGGGGCGGGGGCTGGGGCGGGGGCTGGGCAGGGGCGTCAGGCCCGGGAGACGCACGTGGTCAGGTCAGTGTGTTGGGGCTGAGCCGCCTCTGACCACGGCAGAAACGTGATTCAACACGACGTTTCAGAGGCGCGAACCACCACGATGGCCACGCCAGCAGGAAAACACCAACTGAGGTCTCATTAACTTTGTTGAAACTATTTCAGCTGCTTGGAGAGTGATTAAATATAGCACAGATGGATCCTTCAGAAATGACAGCCGCCATCCGAGTTAGAAGCAGGAAATCCATTAGCTGCGCTGCTGCGACGGGTGCGGGAGCGCCCTTCCCTCCCGCCCGGCTGTCACTCAGCGCCGAGCTGGCCGCCCTCTGCCACCCGAGGGGCTTCTAATCGTGGCCCTGGAGAGAGCTGGGAGCTTTTAAAAGTTTCCTCAATCTTCACAGGTTATAT